AAATAGGCTATCTTTCCTCCAATGAAGATGGTTGACTCCTTTGTCAAAGATGAGGTGGCTGAGCATGTCTGTAGTCATTTCTGCACCTTCTAATCTATTCCCCTGATCCTCAGGTCTGTTTCTTTGCGAGTACCATGCTGTTTTTGTCACAGTAGCTTTGTAGTATAGTTTCAAGTTGGGGATTGTAATATCCCCAGCCATATCTCTGTTGCCTAAAGTTTCTTTTGCTATTCTAGATCTCTTCTGGTTCTAAATGAATTTTTGGATTGTTTAGTTCTGTGAAATATATTGTTGGAATTTAAATTAGCATTGCATTAAACCTATATAATAGTTCTGGAAGTATGGCCATTTTCACTATATTGGTTCTTCCTATCAAGCAACAAGGGATATCTTTCGATTTTCTTATATCCTCCTCAGTCTCCTTTTTCAAAGTGCTATAATTTTCAATGTAGAGGTCTTTTGCTTCCTTTGTTAGATTGACTCCTAGATATTTCCTTTTTTTTTTTTTTGATGCTTTTGTAAAAGGAATTGTTTCCCTAATTTCTCTCTGAGTAAGTCTATTATTTGTATATAAAAAGGCTATTGTTTTTTGAGTGTTGACCTTATATCCAGCTACTCTACTGAATCTGCCAATTAAGTCTGGAAGTCTTTTGGCATAGTATTTTGAGTCTTCTATGTAAACAATCATATCATTAGTATATTTGCAAATATCATATCAATGTAATTGGGCTTCTGATGTAAATAAAGCCCTAAAAGATGTATATTGCTACCTTCCTGATAGCTCCATCACTTTTACCAGTGAGATCCCTCTGCAAAGTATTTGACTTAGAGAAGGATACTTTGTTGTCTGAATAGATGCTTACCAACGTTTTTGCATGTGCATAATATTCAGTTGCTCCTTATAAATAACAGATTTAGCAGGTAGAGATGTGTAAATGGGTAAACCCTGGTGAGAGAATATAACAATTTGCCAGTATAACAGTGTATTTCAGTAATAAAAACAGTTTCCTAAGTTTTTTAACCTGAGATGTTGAAAAACCATCCATGGCATTTTATATAACAAAACCAGATAATAATCATTTATCTTTTTAAAAGTGCATCTATACAAAATATAAATAGGAAAGCAGGAAAAAGAAGCACTCTCATTCTTACAAGTTTCTACAATAGTAATAAATGAACTTACTGAACATACATTTAAATATATCACTGAGAGATAACACTTTGAATTGATTTTATTTTTATTTGAGAAAATCCTACCAGAATCTATAAACCAGCCATTAAAATGTCATGATGAGCTCCATCAAAGGCTGCCAAAAGTTCCGACAAAATCATGAAAGACAACATCCCTTGTTGCAATCAAAAGGTCATTATTTTCTTTCCATACAGCAGTCTCAGCACTATGATGAGGATGAAATCCTGATTGAAATTGCTCAAATGAGTCAAATTGCATCATGTGTTAATGTAATTGATTACAGCCTCCAACACTTTAAGCAGAGCCGAAATTAAAAAATGAATGATGGTGTTGCATTTTATCCACCAGTAATGAAGCTTTCTTCAGCACTTCTGGCTCAATATAAATTCATGGTCATTTGAAGAGCTGACCCAGGGCCAAAAAAGAAAAAAAAATACTATTTTAGTGCCCATCAATGACACTATAGGTGTCAGTATTCAGGTATACGGCAGAGGGCTGGCTCCACCTGATGTCCATCTCTGACTCTCTGAATGCCAGAGTTTGCTAATCCTGGTCAAAAACTGAGGAAGAGAAGAAAGGATGCTTATATATGAAAAATCATTTCTTCATGTGTACTTGGTCTCTGTGAATAACTACCAGCTTAAATTTAATTATTGTATTCATGTATTGTGTCTCAAATCTCTGCTATAGAAGGATACATAAACAGCATACAATAGCTTTTTAGTGGTTCTCACTTCACTGATTCTTCTTACAGATTATGAGAGACAGGAGCTGTGTTTAAAACCTCAAAGGTGTTTTGCCACAAGGGCATTCCAAGAGTGTTCTAAGGTACAATAGGGGTAGGAGGCTGAGATCAAATGAGGAAAAATGTTTTAACAATTGTAAACAATTAGGTGAAAAGGCTTGGTTTATCATTTATGCATGTACAATGATGAGAAAAATAGGTTAAAAATAAAGTATTGTTATATGTTAATAGCAGTAATAATTGACACTTATGGAGTATTTTTCCAGAAATTTTCAACAATTTACCTACATAGCTGTATTAACAATTTAATATTTGTATAAGTTCTTGAAAATATCCCCCAATCTGCAAAATAACCCGTAAGGGATAAAGAAAAATAATTGACTCATTTTGGTGAAAGTATAAAAATTAAAATTGAATTAAAATATTTTAGTTCCAGAGGCTGTTCCACCATCTTATAACATTGCTGTGCCATATTTTCCCATGTTGTATAAGATTTATATGGTGAATGATGCTAGAAAATATTATTGAAAATTTATGCTATAATCCAGTATGTTTTATACTACTTTCATGCTACAAATATTCACCCATCGCACAAAATGGCATCAATATTCTACAAGATAAATCCTAAGTGCCATTAAATAGGTACATATGTATCATATGCATACATGTCAAATAGGTTCACTCATAACTAGATAAACATTTAAAATTTTTCATAAGAAATAAACTAAAGAATATATAATGTCTTTGGATTAAATTGTCTACTACTATTTTGTGTAAATGTGTTTCACAATAGCATTGAGTAACATTGAAAAAACTGTTTTGGTCACACTAAATATGAAGTATGATAAGGAGAAAACTATAAAACACTTTGAATGTAAGTAACAACACAATGATTTACATAAAATCATCTCTAAGTTTTATTAAATACATCAGCTGTCTCTTCAACTGATTTTTGAAGTGGCAGAATGACCTAGCAAATCACAGCTAACGACACAGAGTGAATGTAATTATAATCCAACCTAGGGCAAAAGCTAATAACTGAGAAATGAAGGGAAAGCATTAAAGTTATGTTAAAAGGTGAATTAATAACCTTCAATGAAATAATAACACTCTAATGACTAAATTTCACCGACAGCTTTCCAAATTCTAAAGTCAATCACTTTTAAATCAAGTGTCCAATATCCCAGGAATGATTAAGAAATGTTAACTTCCTTTTCTTCCTAAGCAATTTCAATCATTCTATGGTTATTTTACTTTTAATTTCTTTCCCACATTGATTATAGATTCTGCTTTCTAATTTTTTTCATGTTTCATGAATCTGATTTCTCATTTAGACACCTCATAGGTCAAAAAAATGATTTGTTTAGAGGACCACTGAAATTAGCAAAGGATATAGGGGACACTGAATTAGAAGGATTGTGGTTGAATTTTTATTTTACTACTTACTAAAAGAGTGGTATTGAAATTGACTCCTGAATATTTTTTTTCCTCTGCACAGAGTATTTTGAAATAACTCCATCTGAAAATTCCTTATAAGGAAAAAAAATGTTAGTTTGAAAAACTTCATCAATTGTGCAAATGTAAAATATAACTATACCCAAGAGCACAATTAGGAGAATAAAAAAATAGCTGTATAATCCATGGGATTTGAGGAATTTAAAGTAATATAGAATATTAGAAAAAATTCAATTTTTTATGAAGAACTCACTGCTACAGAGATGAGTGTATTCAGCTCTCACAAATATTAGATTTATAGATTTGAGGAAAAGTCTCTTCTTTTGTGTCTGTATTTAAAGAAGAACCTGCTGGATATGTATTTACATGAATGAAAGGAATGAGATATAGTTTCAAATATAGCAATACTAATTTAGAAAATCATATCAAATAAAGGTCAAATATCAAATAAAGGGAAGTTTTCTACTTTGAATATGTGACAATGGAGAACAAACAAGTTCATTTTCCTTCATTTTCTTCATTGATAAAATGAATAGGACAAGATCTAACATGTCCTATGCTTAGTGACCCAACTTCATGGAAATGTCCATTGCCTGGCTTAGAAATTTGGCTATGTGATGAAAGACCAATTATTGTAATCCTGGTTTAACCAGTTAGTCTTCTGACCTGCAAAGGTTAGTTAGCTTAAACTTTCTCCTCTGTAAAATAAAGACAAAAATACTACCTATTTCATAGATTTTTCTCTCAGGATTAACTGTTAAAATTAATGAAAATTGCTTTGTACATACAAAGCATACAGTCAGTGTTATACATTATTATTATTATGGTTTCTATTATTAGCTGACACAGAAACAAGGTCTCTTACTACTTTATAATAATCAAATCTTGCAGACTGTCTTTAATCACTCCTCCCAGAAGAACTATGCTGCAATCATGTCAAACTCTGCTTTTGCTTGTTAGTTTGTTTTATGGATTCTCTGACCTTTTCTTTGTGTAATATTAAATATGTTCGGTATCTTACAAGGTCATATGGGAAAATGACTTCCTTTCTGAAGCATCTTTGGGTCATTCTTAAAACTAAATTAAGTATGCATATCTCTTCCAATTGCTTACTGTATTTACTTCTATCAAGATATTTACCAAATTATAATATCACGCATTGCACACACGCACACACACACACCACATATAT